GGGGGGGGGGGGGGGGGGTACCTGCTCCTCTCCCGCCCCAGGGCTCGCATGCGTTTACAAACACGAAGCCTCACAACAGCCCTGTGAGGTAGGTCACTGTCTTCATTTGACAGGGAATCCAAGGCAAAGCTGGGATTAAACTCCAGGTTTTTCATTTAAATGCTGCGCCTGTCAATCCTCCTTCCACAGAAACATGGTCCCTGTTCATAGAAAACAAAGAATTTTGTGCCTCTGCTCCTGGCATCCCGCAGGAGAGCGCTCACAGGCGGACTGGCAGCTACCACCACGTCCTGCGTTGCACAAGTTACAGGGATCCGGCCTCCGGAGAACAAGAAATTAATAAAAAAAAAAAAATTAAAATTAAAAAGAAAAAAATCATAACAACTCATAGAGGACAAAAAGTACAGGCAGATTAGGAACGACAAGTCACGTCTCACACTTGTAACGCCACGGGGGCGGCTCGGAGATCCCACGAGGAACGTCCCGATCCTGCGCTGGAGCTGCTGGCTCCGCGCTCGGCCCCCCCGGAGCGAGCCAAGACGTCCATCTGTCCGTCCGTCCTCCTCTTGAGCCGGGAGTAGCTCCGGCACCCTGTGGGGGGGGGCAGAGGAGGCCCCGCGGCCCGGCTGGGGGCAGCGCCGCCGCCGTGCCAGGAGCGGGGAGGGTGGGCGTCCGCCGCGACGGGTCTGTCGGCGCTTCCCGGTCCGTTCTGCGCTGGGTCTTCCTCCGCGGTAGCCATGCACGGAGCCGACAGCAGGAGAGTCAGACAACATTAATCTTCTAGGATGGAGAGAGATGACTTCACAAGGGATAAATAGAACTTTTATTTAAATAAACATTTGTGAACATCTTTATACAAATTACAAGTCCCCACACAATCCTCCAGCTCCGCCTAAGCGCCAAAGCTGCCGGGAGGGCCTTTGAGCAGATCCACCAGGATGTCGAGCAGCTGGCTGTGCTGGTGGTGCAGGTCCCCGGGGATGGCCGCCATCTCGTAGCACAGGCACGTCTCCACCATCTTGGAGAGCGACACGCGGAAGTCGCGCAGGAGGCGGATGGTGTAGGAGTCTCCCTCCAGCACCAGGAGATCGCTGTCTGTCAGGGAGACCGTTGCTCGCCAGCCGTCGTCTTTGGTGGGAGGAAGAGAGGAGGTGAGAAGGAGGAAGGGCGCTGAGCCGGGCCCAGGCCGCGGGGCCCTCTCCGCCATCACTACTGGGGGCAGCACGGGGCCTCCCCATGCTCGTTCAAACCCAGAGGCCGGGGACAAAAGGGGGCTGGAGGGTTCCCACAAAAACCAGGCAGCACTCAGCACCCCAGGAGCCTCCCGGTGCTTCCCACGGGAGCCGAGCGTGCCCAACCACGGCACTCCCAAACCCACACGTCTCACGGGGAGAAGGGCTCGCTCCTCCCCGCACGCTGAAGTCCAGCCCAGCTCCTCGTTCCCCAGGGATGAGCCTCCAGGCACAGGCCTCCTCACTCAGCCTGCCCGGGGTTCATGTTCCCCATCTGCCCAGAGACCATGGCTGAGAACGGGTCACAAATCATCACCTTGGTGGCCGGCGCGAAGGGAGAGCCTCGGAAAGCAGGGGAGGAAAGCAGAGGGGAGGTGTGGGCCCCACGGCACTCACCTCGCACGTGGATGTCAGTGTCGGTCATGAGCAGCACGGCCAGCGGGTGCACCTGGGAGGAGTCGCGCACGAAGACGCCGCCATTGGACTTGACGGCCATGAAGTAGGTGAGCCAGCGGCTGTAGAGCTTGGATGCCTCCCTGCGCAGGGAACAGCCTTGTCAGCCACTGGGGGCCTCGGCACAGCCCGCGGGTGCCAGGCTTACAGACAGGGAGCACCCACCCACCTGTTGATCGTGGACTTGTGGAGCAGAACGGTGCCAGCCTTTGTCCGGTACG